TGTCTTTTAAAACATGCTTCTTTCTTTTCACATCCAGAGAAACATTCTGCTTTTTCAATATTTCCTAGGATATTTCATTTTTTCTGGGAGAGGGCTGGGTGATAACTTCCCACAGTTTGTTTATTATTTATTTATGAAATGCATATGCTCCCCATCTCACTGTTTATGGTGATTCTGCTAGACTATGATAGACTATGAGATCCTAAGAGGATCACGTTAAAGAAAATTATGGCAGAGTTTTAAGTTTGGGTTAAAATTTTACTAGCTTAGCTTTTTAGGATTTCTGTACTTATTTGCACTCTGGTCTATGATCATAATAAATACTATTACTAATGGAGGAAAAATTGGACGAGGCAAATCAATTACCTATCAGCTTGCTGTTACACAAGATCGGCTTATTTTATATTTCATCCCTAACTTCCAGCTCAGTTTCACCCTCCCTAGATTCTCTCTACCTACCCTGATACGGTTTCTAAATCTGTCTTAGACAATTAGTTTCCATATCTTATCTGGTCCAAGACATGTGAATTATAAAACATACTGGGCAGCCTGACAAAAGCATATCATCAACTACTTTATTGTTGATTTCCTTTGGCATGTTTAAAGTCCAGTCACAGCTTGGTTTATTTATTAATAGACTCCCTTCAGCATAAAATAAGAAATATTCTGTTTAACCTTTCAGTGTAAATTCCGATGCGGTTGCCAACATCTGATTAAGAATTCAAACATATTAAGAAAATTAACCAAAGCTTTCCCAATGTGAATGCTGAGGGTAACTGAATGTGCCAAGTCCCTGTCGAACATATTTACCAACTCACTCTCAAGTTTTTTATTTATTTTATTCTATTCTATTTTATTTTTTCTCTTTTATCTACTCTTTTTTTCTCTTTTATTTAAGAATCAGTAGCTATAGACATAGCACTATGGCTATTGAGGTGCTGTGGAAAATGGCATCTCTCAACTACAATGAGTTTCTCGCATTTCTTTGTGGTCGAAACAGTCAGGAAACAGACACCACATGAAATGCTAGAAATCTGCTGGTCTTAACTATAACATCACAATCTTGAAAGCCTGTTATTGTTTTTGATTCTCTTCCCCTGCCATAATGACCAGCTGGGTAGGCATAGCTCGGTAGTCATGTGACAATCTGGCTGTGGCCAACTCACGTCGATGGGCGCTTCGTCTTAGCTGTTACAATGGTAATAAGGGTTAACTGGAGAGGCAGTTTCTGTAAGCAGGTCAATAAAGATTANACGGGACCAATTCTTGGAACAGCTGAGAAGAAGTCCCACCTGCTTGTTTTGATAGCAGAAATGTCTAAAAGCTGAGTTTTGGATGTGACAAAGTTGCCTGTTGTGAGTCCGTTGTTTGCCTTATGTAGGAGCTTACACTGAATTGTTGAACTAAATTGCCCACCTCTTTCTCCAAGAATTCGCCATTTAATAAAAATGCTGCCTGTTGACTTGCTTTATACATAATTACATATAATTGTAAATTATAATTCAACATTCATAATTGTAATGTGGCGTGTTTGGTTCTGGCTTCATACTATATATTGTATGACTTCACCAAATATAGCTTTTTCAGCAAACCATGAACAAATGACAGGAGCAAGAATATGCGCAAAAAATGGAAGGATACTTTGATTCCCACTGAGGACAAATGGCTGCAAAAGTTGATGGAGTTAGCTGAGAAATGACTACTATATTTTATTATATAAAACTAAAAAGTTGAGATTTTGTGTTACTATCTTATTATACTGTACCAAAAAGAAGTTAATGCCTTTTTCTTTTTCCGTCTGTCTTGCATTTTTTTTCTCTTCCCCTTTCCTTCCTTATCTTTTCATCATCTTTATTTTTCTTCAGATGTGTTCTATTATCTAGTTTGATAAACTAATAAATATGTATTAACCAGGAACAAGCCATAAACAAATTATGATGTAGAACAATGCATCTCTGTTACAGCTCAATGTAAAATTGTTTGTCAACTTTTGGTTTTAAAAAAATGCTACTTTTCTGACTAAACAAGTGGATGAGCCCACAAAAGTTGTGGCCAAGGATTAGACTAGAACGGGGCTGTCAAACTCCCAGCCAGATGCATCACACACTGGCCATGCCTGTTCTGACCCCCTCACCCCACACCAAAGCACTCCGAGCCAAAGATACTTTATGGAATTTATTTACAGACAGACAGGTCCTTGGCAGCAAACCGGCACAGATAAGCCTTGGCAGCAATAAACACAGATAAGGCTTGGAAGCAATCCAGCCTGCCAAGCTCACAATAATGTTCTCCGACATTAGTTAATGCATTGACTTCTGCAAAAGGGGTGTGTGCACAAGCAGTCCTTTTATAGTCTGGAGAGGAGCCTAATGACCACCAGTGGTTAAGATAAAAATGAAAGAAGAATTAAAGAAATCCCCAGAAAAGAAAACTATTACACAACAAATTAAATGCTTACAAAGGCAATGGAAGTAAACATGAATTGTGAAAAACCAAAATCTGAATGTGCATATAAGCCAGGGAAATGGTTGGCATATAAACTGAGGAAAGGAGAAAAGAATGATAGTAAGATTACAACAGACAATTCAAAGATGTAAACAATATTTCATCAACCTTACTCTAAATGATGCAAAGGAGAAAAAGGTTCCATGGCCAACTCCCTCAATTTAATTTATGCTTAGTTGGGTAAATGCAACTTTACATTCAATTTCATTCAGGCATATCCAGTTTTCAATGCCGGCTGGCGGCTCCTCAGAGGAGGGCCTTCTCCGTAGCTGCTCCGACCCTGTGGAACGATCTACCTGTAGAGATCCGGACCCTCCCCAACTCTCTTGGCTTTCCGGAAAGC